ATTCTTGGACCGTCTTGATTTTAGATGGATTAGTGGCAACTCCTTGAGCACTGACAATATGGCCCAAATAGGTGAGTTGTTATTTAGCAAAGGAACACTTAGCCATCTTGACATGGAACTAGTTCTTTTGGAGAATAGTTAGAACTTCTTGAATATGCTGAAGATGTTCTTCCCAAGACCTGTTGTATATTATGATATCATCTATAAAGACCACCACACATTTCCTCAGTAAAGGTTCCAAAATGATGTTCATCACAGCCTGAAAAGATTGTTGGTCCCCCTGTGACCCCATAGGGCATGACCCTGTATTCATAGTGTCCACTATGAGTTTGGAAAGCTATTTTGAATTCTTCTCCTTGAACCATTCTAATTTGATGAAAGCCAGAACATAAGTCTAGTGAAGTAAACCACTGTGCTCCATGTAATTCATCCAGCAAGTCTTCAATAACAGGTAAATGGTACTTGTTCTTTGTGGTGAGTGCATTTAGGTGCCTATAGTCCACACATAACCGCCAGTCACCAGTTTTCTTGCGCACTAGAAGAGCAGGTGAAGAAAAAGGGCTAGTGCTGACTTGAATCCACCCTTTTTGTAACATCTCTTTAATCTGAGTCTCAGTCTTAGTCTTTTGAGTGGGGTTATACCTGTATGGCCTCAAACAAAATGGTTGAGCTCCATCTAGTATAGGTATTTTATGATCCCCGGCCTCTCGTGGCAATTCTATGGGTGGGGTAAAAACACTATCAAACCGGTGGAGAACATCTTGCAAATCTGGAGGCAGAAAAGGTATGGTCTGGTTGGTGCTCAAGTTAGTATCCAGTACTTGCAACTTCACAAAGTATAGGATAGAGTCTGTTTTATCCAGTCCCTGAAGCTGGTAAAGAGAAACATGTGCCCCCAGATTGGTAGAAGGTAAACTGCCTTGGAGTTTGATAAGTTGCTGGCAGTGTGTAAACTGTAACCACTTTTCAGCCTAATGAATTTCCATAGGACTATGTAATTCTAACCAGTCCATACCAAGGATGACATCTTAACCTTTCAGAGGTATGATCTTCAGTGTTGTGTGGAAAGAATGGCCCCGAATTCCCCAAAGTCATTTAGGAAGTTGATGAGTACAATGCAGTAAATCTCCATTTGCCACTTGCACTTTAACAAAGTTGAGTGAGTGCTTGTCCGTAATCCGATGTGGAACTAATTGATCATTGATGAAGCTGTGAGAGCTTCCTGAGTCTACCAGCATAAACACTTCTTTGCCTTGGAGATGACCCACTACTAGAGCAGACCTATCACAGCCGCGTCGTAACCCCCCATCGCAGCCGAATTTTGACCTCAGCAGTAACCAGTGGACGGTGATAGTTGAAGTCATCACGATCGATTAACAACCGATGGTGATGGACCCTCAACAACGTCGCATTGGTCACTAAGTCGCTTGTGTAGAGGCAAACATCACCGTAGTGTGGGCAAATGAATCGCCTGTGTAGTAGTCACGATCACCGTCGCCTTGCACAACGACCCGTCTGCGTGTTGGCAAGTTCACCATCGTGTTGACGGCCGACCATCTCTGCGTCGAGGTGAATATCACCACCGCCTCGCCGTATGAACCGCCGAGTCATAGGGCATGGTCACCGTCGGCTTCCAGTACGATCCGCCTTTGATGATCCTTTTGTCGGTGTCGGGTTACTAAACGATTCGGTGGTGATATAGTTTTGATCCCTGCCGCATCATACGTATAGCGGCGGTGTTGGACAAAATTGCATCCGGTTTTCACAATATTTACTAATTCAGCGGGCCCTTAATACCTTACTGAACACACAGCATACAGATATATTACATCAATACATCATGTTCAAAAACAAGAGTACTTTTTACAATAACAATGGGCGCTAACATAACATCTATGTGAACTGATGTCCTAACACAAGCGGTACATAGATTGCATACTAAAGGTACTGATCTCTAGACTTACATAACTAAAATGATTATAATTACTCCATCCTTCGGATTGGTAGCCAATGTGGCACTCCTGCTTGCAAGGCAAAGTGAATATAATTACTGCATCCTTCGGATTTGTAGCCAATGCACCATGGAAACCCTCTTCTTCAATAGGCAAATTGTTGAAAAGCACTCAGACTCCACAACCTGCACAAAGCAGCAGAATTAATAATATTCAACATACCATTCCTTTAGTCAATTACCAAGCCAAAATTGGCCTATATGTACAATGAAAACAACTCCCTACTGGAACAAAGGCATGTCATAACAACGAAATACAACAAATGCATCTTTACTGCTCTGCTAGTGACTCCATGAGCAATGGAACATAAGGAAGATAGTAAGGCATGTTCATATGGAGACGGCCTCTTGGTCTACGAAAGCGGATGACACAAGCATGAATGACATGAACCTTTATGTGGTCCATGTCATATGCAATCAGTGTTCTATCCTCTCCAACAAAGAAAATGAAATTCCATTCGGGGTGAACTGTAATCAATCTGTAGTCCGCATCACAAAGCTCAGAACCTACTTTAATATTGATCAGTCCAAACAGCTCCTGCGTGGTCATAACATGCTTCAATCTCCATTTAGTAGTACCATAGTCTTCCAGTATCCACACTGAAAGCTCGGACATATTGTGAAAATCAGCACAACACAAACACAAGTTACCCTAAGCTTGATGGATAGACATTTCAGCACCACGTTGTTTAGGAATTTTTCAACATGTCTTTCCCTCCATATCCACAGCAACTATCACAGAGTAGTCAAGCATGTGCATAAAACCATTAAGAAAAACACTTCTTGATTTTGAACGTAGTACAACACTCACGCCCCATTCAGATTCCTTAAAGATCCATGCTGCAGTTTTAGATGAGTAGATCTCCACACCTACGCACCCACCCTCGTCCTCCATAAATTCAATCACATGAAAGTGTGAGGACATTGTCGGATTGAAACCCAAGCGAGCCTGACCAACAGAACGGATGCTATGTGGCAGTACAAACCATTTCTCGGTCGTCGGATTGCAGACAACATAGCGACGTAATCCATCAGGCCCAACACACCAGCATAGGATGAGGCCACTGCAGCTATCTGAGACCAGGCCTTTGTCAAGGGGGGAGGGCAAGAAGGAAAAGGAGGGTCGTTCACCGGTGATGCTGGTGAAGTGGCGCTTGCCGGTCCACTAGCTTTCATAGAAGAAGCTTCTTATGGTGGTCTGAGTTGGTGATGACGCGTTTCCAGGAGCGACAGACACACTTGCAGCAGCACAACGACCGGGCAGGGAGGCGGCTGAGGATGTTGACAAGCACATCGTCTGTGAAGCTACCCACGGCGTTCCTCTTGTTGGGGGCCTCCATCATCTGGAATAGGTAGGACAACCCCAAAGAGATGAGGCCGCCCTACTGTCGTGGAATTGCATGAATAGAAAACATTACTAACGACATGAGTTTCGACGAGAACGGATGGCGATGTAAGTAAGGGACTATTACACTTCTTTGGATCTGGTGGTGGTTAGCATGAGTGGCAGCACCGGTGACATCAGCAGCTTGGTCACCTGTGGATCTGTGCGGGCAAGCCGGCGATGTGCACCATCGCAGAGCAAGAGCTATCACGCCGGTGTCGACACTGAGCAGTGGTGACCAAGAGCGACGCTGAGGAATAGCAGCAATGAAGATGAGACAAGGTATGTGTGTGGAGGGGGACAGGTGAGTTGCTTGCGGGCTGCGTGACTTTTACAAGCCATGGGAATCAAAATTTCATCAGGACTTTGTAATTGCACGCGGGAGGGCTCAAACGCGGGAATGGAAATTTTGCAAATAAGTGGGGGTGAATGCACGGTACCATCACCGGCGGCTAGGTCCTATTACCACTGCACCCAGAGACCCCCATATGATACAGTGATAAACAATAAGGCACACAGATTTAACGTTTACCATGTATACATTGAAACAAAGCCAAACTGGGCACTTAGAAAACTGAGGAAAGCACAATGCCAGTACTCGGATTCAAAGCAATCGAACTTCAGTTCGATGATGAACAATAAGGCACACAGATTAAGCCCCTTTGGAACATAGGATATGCAAAACATAGGAATTGGATATGTAAGTCGGTGTTCTTCTCACGATGGGCGGCCCCTTCCCGTTGTAGCCTCCTCTGCTGGAAGCCGGTGTTCTTCTCGCAATGCCGCCTAGGGGTGGTGCCGACCACTACGAGGAGTTGGAGCTAGATCCAGCCATCCAGCAGTCTAGGTTCAATGTGTTGCACACTCTGAGTCATGAGGTCGGCCCGAGTCTTTTGTCATCGCTTTATGCGGCTTCCCTCCAACAACGTCCTAAAAAACCCTCTCACTCCCGCCAAGATGAGATGCTGTGTCACGGTCAGTTCAGGGTACTATCCACCTATAGAAGAAGACCGGTTTTGTATCTTTTGTTGCAATGAAGAAATTCTTAATATGAACAAAACTGATACTCAACCGAAAACCAATTGGAACCAAATGCAAACAGGGGGTGACCAAATCCATCTAACCTTCACAGGGCATTGTCTAGGACAACAATGCAAGGTGCACGATGCAGGGCAACTAGCGTAGTACAGGCAATGGGTTAGAATGAAGATGAAGCAACTGGTGGGGAGAACTAAGCGCTTCGCAGTGGGGTGTTTTTTTAGTTGGTCGAACCACCACCAAGGCACCGGCTGTGGGTCGAGGGAGTTGGGGAGCGGCCCAATGATTCTAGGTTTTTAAGTAAACGCATGGTCCAGATTTGATCGGTAGGGACATCGATGGCACGGATAAGTTACACGGTGTCCATATTAATGTAAGCATTGCCACGCTAACACATCCATATAATACGGTGATTCTCAAATTGTTCAACAACTAAGTACATGATAGTTTTTGTGTCGAATAGGAGACAAGAGCTTCATTACTTCACTACAAAAGATTCATTGCTCGGACTACAAATTTTCTTCATCACTACAAAAGATAGATACATTTTGGACTGAGTATATGATTCTACTCATCTAGAAAGATAATTAGTAGACCTAAAGTATTAAACTTATTCAATCTAAACTGGATCCTCTCTTCCAAAGAGAGGATCATGGTCACCTCAGTCGCTTGGGAGGAGGCTCGTCGTCATCGTCATTGTCATCCTCCTCCTCCTCGAAGCCCTCGTCGTCGCAACTCCAGGAGGACTCCCTTCAGAAGAGTCGGTGTCGCTAGAGGAGTCATCTGATGGGTCGACCTCGACCTCGTCGGGGGACGAGTCTCTCTGCTGGTAAGGCTCGTACGTGCACATAGTTCCTATCGGATGGAAGAAGGGGATGAACAAGGAAGAGGGCTGGTTTCAGAGGGCAGCGGGCTTGAAGAATACGTAGAGCGGTGGGCAACCTTGCTTCGGCTTCTCCCGATGGAAGTAATTGTGATGGAACAGTTTTGGTAGTTGGGACATTCAACACTCACGCTGAACTTACCGCCGGTAGACCAAACGGTGTTGTAGGGCCGGTGGCCATAACGCGTATCTCAGTCGGCTTGGCGTTCCATACGACGGAGAAATGCAACCCCACTATCACCGCCACATCGATGGTTGAACCGTGAGTGCTAGAAGTTTCATTTGCCGGTTTGATTCCTTCCAGGCCTCGCTATCGATCCAACCTTGCACCGTCGCTTATGTATTCTACGGCAGTGAAAGTGGCGACAGTGATCGCTCAATCTGTAATAGTGACCTCTGAGCCTAATAGTCTTGGATCCCTCAGTACCACTAAGTGCTTGCACTGATAAGGCCATCAATTCATCATCAGATTCTGTATCCACTTCAGTAGAAAGAAACTCTAGTTCTTCTCCTTTAGTAACACACTGCCACAACTGTTCCATTGCATTAAGAGAAACAATGGAAGGACATTTGTGTTGGGGTCCCCATTGCTCTCCACACTTAAAACATAGGCCCTTAGATCTTCTATAAGATTTCAGAGCAGAAACCTTATCTTCATCAGACTTGGACAGAGTTAATGGAACAGCCTTCTTGTCTTCAGCTGGTTTAGCAGTGGGTGTAAAATTGGGTTTGTGAGTTTCAACACCATGCTTCTTAGAATAATGACCAGAATCAGATCTCTTGATGACTTGATCTTGAAGTGCCTCCTCCTGCAGAAAAGCCAAGGAACTAGCAGTATCGAGGTCTTGTGGTCTATGAATCATCACAACAGCTCTTATATCTTTTCTAAGGACATCAACAAAACGATTGGTGATAACGGTGGGTGAAAAAGTGGGATCATAAGCGAGCAACTGATGCACGATATCACTGAACTGTTCAACATATTCACAGACATAGGATAACTGTTTATGGTGGAAAAATTGCCTAAGAAGATGGTTGTGCTCATCCCTATCAAATCTATTGGTAGCAGATAACACAAAAGCATCCCAGGTTAGATCAGTGGAATTGCCTTGTAAGGTTTGGAACCAGAGGGTTGTTGAGCCAACCAGGTTCATAGATGCATAACTAACCCAAAGACTAGGAGCAACAGCATAGACATCAAAAAAGGTTTCACACTGCTTCACCCATAATCTAGGATTAGAGCCATCAAACTTTGGGAAGGAAAACTAGATCAGGTAATGCAGCAGTAACAGCAGGATGAATATGATGACCGCAACAAACAGAATCACCCAGAGCACAAGTCACGGGAGGGGAATTTTGGGTAGCATCCGCACCTGTGACCGGGGACGCTTCCAGGGTGGCATACACCACCCCGAACACATTTCCCCGGCGCCGATGTTCAACGCGGTGGCCGCATGGCCCAGACGCCACCCCGGACGGGGTCGATCCCAGATGGGCAGAATCCGGCATCCCAGTACCCCCGGCCTTCGATGCTTCAGGCGCGGGTTGCTCGATGGAGATTCCCTTGTTCGCCGACGAGATATTGGAGCCGGTGAGGTGCTTGACGCGCTCACCGAGAGTGGAGACGGCGCTCTCCAAATCCGCCATCCGACTGTCCACCTCCGGTTTCCAAGCTTCGATCTCCTCTTTTGCCAGCTTGATCTCGGTCATCATCGCCTTCAACTCCGAAATCCCCTTCGAATTCTCGCTCAGGAGAGCGAGGATTTGGCCGAACTTCTCCCCCTGCGTCATGACGACTTGCTGCCTTGTGAGGTGGGCGTGAGGCGCTAGGATGACGGCTCACAACTCTGCCGCCGCTGTCGATCAAGCCAACCTCGGCACGGACCTATGGGATTTCGAAACAACCTGCCGTCGGGGATCACGGCTCCGGATCAAAACAGCGAGGAAGAGAGACAGAACGCAAGGAAATCTGTGGCTCCCGGGATCGAAATGAATCCGATACAAGATGTTACCGAACTACTAGCAATGTACGATATATTGGTAGAGTTTAGGTGGAACAAGGTCTCGAGCTCCGGCTATCGCCGTGCTCGCCGCCGCCGTCGCCAACAAGGCTCGGGTTCAAAGTAATGACGAAGTCAGCCTTCTCCTCTCCCGGATGTCGTTACAAGAAGGGGAAGGCCGCCTCCGTCATGGGCCACGCAGGGCCTGTTGGGCTAGTTGATCCAGTCCGGCCCAGTGACTCGTGCGCTCTTCTTCTTGACTCGATCCGAACGCTTTACAGCAACCGGCACAGCTTCAGGTGCTCCTTCAGTGATCGCGCCATCAGAGTTCTCAGCGTCTTGGTGCTCTTCAGCTTCAGGTTCTGTCACCGACACTGTCGGTGACAATATGCATCCTGATATGAAGTGCAGAATTTCGCTTCTGATTTAAGCCATTAGTTGGCTGCAGCTTTTTACTGTAGCCCTTCTCAATAATTTACTGTGACAGCAGCCGCTGTGGCTTTAATCTAGCTGATGATGCGAACAGGCGTCGGCCATGAATCCACGTCGAGATGGAGCTGAGACAACGACCGCCTCTAAGGCTCTGGCTGACTGACGCGGCCAGTAAACGAGCAAGGAGAGGAAGCCTAACGAGCTCCGCGTGACACAGACCCTAGTACCCAGTACCCACCATGCGATTTTTTTTAAAATAATATTTTTTAATTATTAATTACAAATATAGTATTTGGATAAAAAGAATTGTAAATATAGTAGCCGGCTACTGGGGTGCACCCTGTCGGCAACTGGAGGGACGACAGAAGCCTATCGACATCCCAATAGCCGACTAGACGCCGGCCGTGGCTGGAGAGTACGGCCCAACAGGCCCTATCGGCCCGACACTCCTGTCGGCTACCGGGCAGCTGATAAGATTCTGTCGGCCGGCGGAGGGCCGACAGTCCTAAAATATCTATGCAATCTTCTTCCTCCCTCTCTCTCTCTCTCTCTCTCTCTCTCTCTTCGCTCCCTCACGCGCTTGCTTCTGCGCCGTCGTCGCTCGCCCCGTCGCCGCGCCCTCCCCTCGTCGGCGGTCGCCGGATCCGGCGTGCCCCAGCAGCAGCGGGGTAGGCCACCCCACCCCACCTGCTCTGCTCCAGCAGCGGTGGCCCTCGCAGGTACGTCTCTCATTTTCTTTTTAGATTTTTTGTTTAGTTAGATTTTGTTAGTTTAGTTTATTAGTTAGATTTTCTGCCACGTTAACCTTATCGGCTCCTGAGGTGCTGATATGGGCCTGCCGTCCAGGGGTCCTATCGACAAGGTGCTACACCTGCAATAAATCTATAACAGCTTCTAGATTTGCAATTATTATTTAAAAAAAATTCCCCCACCATGCCGTGCAGCTTTCCAACAGTGTTAGCAGGACAGGGCATCAATGGCATGGAGGGACAGTGTAACAGAAACAGATTTTTCTTTTTGCTCCGCGTGACACAGACCCTAGTACCCAGTACCCACCGTGCCGTGCAGCTTCCAACAGTGTTAGCAGGACAGGGCATCAATGGCATGAAGGGACAGTGTAGCAGAAATAGATTTTTCTTTTTGCAAAGGAGAATATCTATCTATACGCATTTGTGCTGTCACAGAAACAGATGCTGCTACATTGCTGCACTCCTCAAGTCCCATTGATACCATGGCATCACCTTCTTGACTTGACATGGCTATACAGATTTTGGGTCCGGCTGCAGAACAAAAGCTTCGAGCTGTGATTGTTCATCTTTGATTCCAAATAATCTTGAGATATCTCGCTTTGGTTTGCGCTTCTATTTCGGATGTCGTTATCTGTAAGTAATTATGTTTGTCTAAAGAATATCTCGCTTTGGTTTGCGCGCACTAATCACTAGTATTGATATAGGGAGGACAAGCCGACAGGGAGTGGGTGAGAACAGGGCGTATTGGGAGACTGAAGGACAAGAGCCTCTTTGTAATCGATTCTTGGGTGCTCCGGTTTCTCTTGACCCATTACACTGTTTATTGGATCAGTTTTCTCTCTCTTCCTCCTCCCTCTCTCACAGAGCAACAAAATTTTTAGCTTCACCGGCTCCTATGGGCTCTGTGAGAGGAAGAGGAAAGAGAGTGAAAACTGGCTCCAATAAATAGTGCCGCAACAGAATCCATAGCAAAGAGGCCTCAGATATGTCTCTATGTAGGGTTTATAAGTAAGTTTGGAAGGAATGGCCTCTATCACCACACTCAGCATCGAAGTGGTGGTGTGCTGGAGTCTGAGAAGGCTAACTAGGAGAATCCATGGCGGCTACTCTTGCGCGGCTGCTGCCTCTTCTCCTCCTGCTGCTCCCGCCTCCCCTCCGGGAGTACCTCTCGGCGAGCGAGATCCAGCATGGGGCAAAGGACGACGCTGCCACCGGGGTGCTCCACCCCATAGTCATGGTACCTGGGGTGATCTGCCCTCACGTGGAGGCGCGGCTAACCGAGGCGTACCATCCGTCGGTGCCGCGCTGCGGCGCGATGATAGGGAAGCCGTGGTTCGGGCTCTGGGAGAACGCCACGGACGTTCCGGCCCACGACTACCTCGAGTGCTTCAAGGAGCAGATGAGCCTCGTCTACGACCCGGCTGCCAACGAGTACCGGAACCCGCCTGGTGTGGACACGCGCATCCCCAACTTCGGCTCGGCGAGTGGATTCAGCGACAAGAGGCCTCTTCACACGTAACCACATCAAATCCTCCATATATGATATATATCCATCCGGATTCAGTTTCTTTCTTTGTTTCTGCTGCATCGGCTACCACTGTAAACTCTGCTCTGCAGGGCCATGTGCCTGGCGGTCCTCAGAGAATCACTGGAAAGCATCGGCTACCACGACGGCGACACGCTCTTCGGGGCTCCTTACGACCTGCGCCATGCGCCGCCGTTGCCTGGCCAGTCATCCGAGGCGTTCTACTTCGAGCAGGTGACGCGGCTGGTGGAGGACGCGAGCAGCAGCAACGGAGGGAAGAAGGCCATCCTGTTCGGGCACAGCTACGGCGGGCTGGCGGCGCTGGAGTTCGTGCGGAGCAAGCCCCTGGCGTGGCGGAGCAAGTACGTCAAGCACCTCATCCTCGTCGCGCCCACCATCCCGGCCCACGGGTTCGTGGACGCGCTAAGGAACCTCATCCAGGGCACAGACAAGCTCTACGTCCCCGGAACCACCCCGCTGTCCCTGAGGGCAACGTGGCGGACCTTCGAGACTGCCATGGTGAACATTCCGTCCCGGTCGGTGTTCGGGCACGACCCGCTCGTGACCACCAAGCAGAGGAACTACTCCGCGTACGACATGGAGGACCTCCTGGCCGCCATCGGCTTCGGCGACGGCGTGGAGCCGTACAGGAGGCGGCAGCTCCCCAGGACTCGCGGCGATTTCCAGGCACCACTGGTTCCCGTGACGTGCCTCTACGGGGTTGGCAAAAGCACGCCGCGGCGCCTGGTTTACTGGGACGGCGACTTCGATGCGCCCGCGGAGTTGGTCTACGGCGACGGCGATGGGACGGTCAATTTGGCTAGCATGTTGGCGTTCGATGACAAGATGCGCCAGCACCCGGTGCAGAGGAAGCAGTTCAAGTCCATCAAGCTTGCTGGGGCTGGGCACAGTGACATTGTCCAACTTCAATGAGCGCTACAGAGGGTCGTGCAAGAAATACAGGAAGCCAATCGGGTTCCCTCCTAAGGGACTGTTAATTTGGATCACATCTATCTAGATTATAATAATCTATTAATAAGCAGGATTATGGATAATAATAATGAGAGTGTTTGGATCTTTGGATCATGGTGACTGTTTATGGTAGGTTAAAATGGGAAATTCCTATCTTATAATTTGGCAAGTTGGACAATTAATTGGGGTAATTTGGACTTTCAATCCTATTTTGATTATAATAATCTATCATATAGTCAATTCCATTTGGATCCTTGATTATATAATCTGATTATTATAACCACCTATGTATCCAATCAGGGCCTAAAACAAGCGTGTCTATGTTTTTACTATATTTATTGTTATTGTTATTGTTATTGTTATATAGACACATTGTCATCCCAATATCTACTTGTATTTTATATATGCTTTCTCATCGTCATAAAGTGTGTAGCGTTCGTTTCCTCGGGAATCTCCTCAATCTACCCCTGACCAAACCATAGTGACAGGGACAGGAGTTGTGCTTCTATCTCTCTTCGTCCCATCCAAATTCTTCTTTTCAAAGACGAAATATAAATTTTTCACCATTTGGAACATGTGTTCCCCGTTTTGACTTCTCTCCGGAGCGAATACATTCTCCTGCTTGTTGTCATATAATTTGAGGAACATCTTTATGCGATATGTCTGAGTTGTCTTTAAAAAGCATCGATACCTTAGGTAAACGGTCTTCCTAAATGCATCCAGGTACACCCATGAAGTAAATCCAAGCATACTAAGCATCATGTCTTCCCTTTTGATCTGTCCCGACAAAGCAAACAGCATGGAATAATCATTGGTAGTGACAAAGGTAATAGCTCTACATATGAAATCCTCCTTCAGTGACTCGTGCGCCATCGGAGTCGTTACAAGAAGGGGAAGGGAAGCCGCCTCCGTCATGGGCCACGCAGGGCCTGTTGGGCTAGTTGATCCAGTCCGGCCCAGTGACTCGTGCGCTCTTCTTCTTGACTCGATCCGAACGCTTTACAGCAACCGGCACAGCTTCAGGTGCTCCTTCAGTGATCGCGCCATCGGAGTTCTCAGCGTCTTGGTGCTCTTCAGCTTCAGGTTCTGTCACCGACACTGTCCGTGACAATATGCATCCTGATATGAAGTGCAGAATTTGGCTTCTGATTAAAGCCATTAGTTGGCTGCAGCTTTTTTTTACTGTAGCCCTTCTCAATAATTTACTGTGACAACAGCCGCTGTGGCTTTAATCTAGCTGATGATGCGAACAGGCGTCGGTCCATGATCCACGTCGAGATGGAGCTGAGACAACGACCGCCTGTGAGGCTCTGGCTGACTGACGCGGCCAGTAAACGAGCAAGGAGAGGAAGCCTGACGAGCTCCGCGTGACACAGACCCTAGTACCCAGTACCCACCATGCGATTTTTTTTTAAATAATATTTTTTAATTATGAATTACAAATATAGCATTTGAATAAAAAAGAATTGTAAATATAGTAGTCTGTCGGCTAGTGGGGTGCACCCTGTCAGCAATTGGAGAGACGACAGAATCCTATCGGCATCCCAATAGCCGACTAGACGCCGGCAATGGCCGGAGAGTATGGCCCAGCGGGCCCTATCGGCCTGACAGTCCTGTCGGCCAATGGATAGCCGATAATATTCTGTCAGCCGGCGGAGGGCCGACAGTCCTAAAATATCTACGCGACCTTCTTCCTCCCTCGCTCTCTCTCTCTCTCTCTCTCTCTCTCTCTCTCTCTCTCTCTCTCTCTCTCTCGCTCCCTCATGCTTCTTTCTTGCCGCCGCCGCTCGCCAGCCTCCCTCGCCGGTGGTCGCCGGATCCGGCGTGCCCCACCCTTTTCTCTGCTCCAGTGGTGGCGGCCTCGCCCCAACAAAGAAGAGCTGGGTAGGCCGCCCACCCCCCTGCCTCTCGCTCCAGCAATGACGGCCCCTCAGCAGTACGTCTCTCATTTTCTTTTTAGATTTTTTGTTTAGTTAGATTTTGTTAGTTTAGTTTATTAGTTAGATTTTCTGCCACGTTAACCTTTTCGGCTCCTGAGGTGTTGACCTATTGGTCGTCCAGACTCCGACAGGGTGCTATACTGTAAGGTCGAGATGGCGGACTAGAGGGGGGTGAATAGTCTTTTCTAAAATTAATCGCGTCGGCTAACCGAAACAAGTACGGAATTAAAACTATCGGTCTAGCCAAGACTACACCCCTCTATTTATGTTCTCTAGCACCTTCCAAAGATACTAATTAAGCAACAAAGGTGCTGGGCTAGGTAGAGCTCACCTAACCAATTCTAGAAGCAAGGTCACACAAACCTATGCCACTAGTATTTTAAGCAACAATGGAGCTCCTACACAAACTAGTAAGCAAAAGCACAAAGCTACCTAAGCTCACTAGCAATACTCAATAACAAGGCAACCAATGCCAAATTAGAGAGCGCAATTACTTAGCTACACAAACTAAGCAATGTGACTAACACGGTTACACAAACTAAATTAGCCACGCAAGGGAGCTACTTCTATGCTACAAGCAAGAAGGTAACTAGTAAACTACACAAGCTAACTAATTACAAGAGCAACTACACAAGCACAATGTATATGAAAGTAATTACAAGCTTGTGTAACGAGGATGCAAACCAACGGAAAGAACAAGATTGACACGGTGATTTTTCTCCCGATGTTCATGTGCTTGCTAACACGCTAGTCCCCGTTGTGTCGACCGCTCACTTAGTGGTTCGGCGGCTAATTGGCATCACCCACCAAACCCGCACATTGGGCACCGCAAGAACCTACCCAAAAAATGAGGGTAGCTCAATGACACGCTTTACTAGAGCTGCTCTTCGCGGCTCCCACGGGGCGAGCACAATGCCCCTCACAAAGCTCTTCTCCGGAGCACCGCACAAGCTTCTTGCGAGCTTCGATGAAGACCACCACTAAGCCGTCTAAGAGGTGGCAACCTCCAAGAGTAACAAGCACCACCGGCTTACAACTCGATCACCTAGTGCCACTCGATGCAACCTCACGATGCAATCGCACTAGAATCGCTCACTCACGCAATCAGATGATCACTATCAAGCATATGTGAGATAGAGGGCTCCTAAGCACTCACAAGCATGGACACAAAGTCTCCCGAGGTGCTCAGCACCAGCCATGGCCGAGACCACCTTCTATTTATAGCCCCACAGGCTAAACTAGCCGTTACTCCTTCACTGGGCAAAACTCGGGACGACCGGACGCTCCGGTTGTATCGACTGGACGCAAGACCTCAGCGTCCGGTCAACGGATGCTCGCCACATGTCGCCTCCGTTCAACCTCAGTCGCGTGATCTCAACGGTCAAGTGATGACCGGACGCAGCTGCTCAAAGTGACCGGACGCAGCAACCTCAGCGTCCGGTCCTTCTCCAACTTTTTTGCGTCGCCTACGTCACCGTACGTCAGCCTGACCGGACGCACCCTGTCAGCATCCGGTCACTTTCAGCGCCAGCGTCCGGTCGAAGACCGACGCCTGTACGCTCTCTGTCGCCACTGACCGGACACAGGACCCCAGCATCCGGTCACCATATGACCAGCGTCCGGTCCACTCTGCGAGATCCTGTCTTTTCTGTATAGGGCGCCGGTGGCACCGTCGGACTGTCCGCACTCTACGGGCGAACACTCCGCCGGTGGAGTTTCTAACCCTTCTCGCCTCCGTTTCATCGCTGAGTTGATTCACATCAACTCCAACTTCATCTTCTTTATAAAAGTGCCAACACCACCAAGTGTACACCACCATGTGTATGTGTGTTAGCATTTTCACAATCATTTTCCAAAGGATTAGCCACTCAACTTGCCACGCCACTCAATCCTAGCGACGATGCAAAGTTAGATCACTCGAGTGGCACTAGATGACCAATATGCAAACAAGTTTGCTTCTCTTGATAGTACGGCCATCTATCCTAAACTCGGTCATCAACTTCTCTACACACTTATTACCTGTGAAATAAAATGCCCTAGGTTATACCTTTGCCTTGCGTATTCCATTCCATCTCCTTCAATGTCGATGCAACACATGCACCAACATGATCAACAATGATATGATCCACTTCATATCATCATGTGATTACATTGGTTTATCGATCTTGACTTCACTTGCTTTTCACCGTTGCCTTCGTCCGTCGGCACCAAGTCTTGCTCAAGCTTCACCACCACACGATCCATCGGTCCAAAGCCTCCGACTTGCCCTTCACGCTTGCAACCGGTCCATCAAGCCAAGTCTTGTCTTGATCTTCTCCACCTTAATCACATGACCCAATGTCATGTCTCATGTGCAATAAGCTCCTTCATCATCACATGTGTGAGCTTTACAACATTTCCAAGCCATTTTCACCTTCATGGCATATGTTGCTCACACATATGTACCTGTGGACTAATCACGTGTGTATCTCACATAAACATAATTAGTCCACCTAAGTTGTCATTCAATTACCAAAACCACACAAGAACCTTTATATATATGCAATAAATCTATAACAACTTCTAGATTTATAATTATTATTTAAAAAATATTATTTTAAAAAAATTCCCCACCATGCCGTGGAGCTTTCAACAGTGGTAGCAGGACAGGGCATCAATGGCATGGAGGGACAGTGTAATATAAACAGATTTTTCTTTTTGCTCCGCGTGACACAGACCCTAGTACCCAGTACCCACCGTGCCGTGCAGCTTTCCAACAGTGTTAGCAGGACAGGGCATCAATGGCACGAAGAGACAGTCGACCTGTTCGCTTGCTCGTATACGATCGTAGATTATAAATTGGAATAATATTTTTCTTTTACACTGAACCAATCAGCAGTAAATAATCCATGATCGTTTACGGCCTACAGGCTGAGTGTAACAGAGACAGATTTTTCTTTTTGCAAAGGAGAATATCTATCTATATGCTTTTGTGCTGTCACATAAACAGATGCTGCTACGTTGCTGCACTCCTCAACTCCCATTGATACCATGGCATCGCCTTCTTGACTTGACATGGCTATACAGATTTTGGGTCCGGCTGCAGAACAAAAGCTTCGAGCTGTGATTGTTCATCTTTGATTCCAAATAATCTTGAGATATCTCGCTTTGGTTTGCGCTTCTATTTCGGATGTTGTTATCTATAAGTAACTATGTTTGTCTAAAGAATCAGCCTGTTCGGGAGGCCGTATCCTATCGTGGATTATTTACTGTTGGCTGGTTTGTTGTGAGAGAAAAACATTATTTCTAGTTGGAAATTTACGATCGTTTACGAGCAAGCGAACAGGTTGAATATCTCGCTTTGGTTTGCGCTCACTAATCACTAGTATTGATATAGGGAGGACAAGCCGACAGGGAGTGGGTGAGAATAGGGCGTATTGGGAGACTGAAGGACAAGGGCCTCTTTGTAATGGATTCTTTGGTTATCGGGCTTCTCTTGACGCATTACACTCTTTATTGGATCAGTTTTCTCTCTCTTCCCCTTTCTCTCCCTAAATTTTTATAATTTGACCCTTTTTTTGAAAAAAAAATACATTTTGTCCCCTAGGAGATTTAAACTCATCTTTGGACCATGAGGGTCGGCGCCATGAGTCCTGGCGCCGAGGTAACACGTCTCGGCACCACAGATCTTGACGCCGAGGTGTCTGGCCGTGCACAGTAGGAAATCCTACGTGGCCGGTATCTCGGCGCAATAACGTCATGTATTCTGACGCCGAGCAATAGCATGCATTCAAAGCGACCTAGGCTGACTGCATGTCTGCTGTTGTGTGCTACTACTAGCTTACTGCTTCTACAGTGCGGGGGAGGAGGGCCGTGCAATTAATGTCTGCGCGGGGGAGGAAGGCCATGCAATTAGGGCGTGATTGGTTGCAGAGCGAGCCTCGAGCCAGGATGGCCAGGCTATGCAGGACCGAAGAAGTCGGGTTAAGCTCGTGCAAGTGGTCGTGTTTGGTTGTCTTGGCTGTTGGTTCAGTACGAGATGGGGTTGTGTTTGGTTGCATGCATGCATTAGTTTTTTTGGTGTCTGACGCATGGTCCCTGCATCCTGGGTAAATCAAATCATCCTGCACCATGAGGGAAGGAGAAATCCAGAAGACGGAGCCGTGCGGGATGGAAGAGGAAATCTTCACGGGAGGAAGCATGAGAAAGATGCGAGTAGAGCAATCAAACACAGGCGAATGTACCAAAAGATACGAGATGGGCCAAATGACGGTTCGGTTCAGACGACCAATCACGCCCTTAATGTCAGGGGGAGGGGGAGGGCCTAATGTCGCAAGGACTGACGGCCAACAACTTCAACGGTGCTGGAGGACCGGAGGTACATCGAGGAATGAATGAAACAAAGCATGAAGCACAGACAAGAGCATGGAAGAGAGGGAAAGGAGACGCTTTTCTTGACTACCGGTTGCCACAAGGACCCTCAGATATCTTAGGATAAAGGAGGATTCTTTCCTCAAACGAACAAGAAGGCCAGGCTGGATTAGTACAAACCTGTTTATCGGTGACCTCCGGTATTTTTTTTGTACCGGTAAAGTGAACCTTATAGTAGTGTTATTTTTTGTTGGATAACAGCATCAGGTTACCTAGTCTTTTGGTAAGGTAGTGTTTTTTAAAGAAAACAGTTTCTGTTTACATACCTTTTGTCTGTTTGTACCAGTAGTATTAAGTTGTTTTGTTTTGTCGTACTAGTATAAATACAGAATTTTATAATAGTAATAACGAGCACAGCAGCTTCGGTTAGTTTTGCCTGCATTTCCGTAGGGGAGTGGCAGAGTGATTCAGGATTTGTTTAGTTCACGAAATGAAATTTCTTAGATATCTAATCGGATGTTTTGGGAACGTCAGAAGAGGTTTTCGGATATTAATAAAAAACTAATTACATAGCTCGTCTAGAAACTGCGAGGCGAATTTATTAAGCCTAATTAATTAATCATTAGCGCATGTTAGTACTGTAGCACTTATGGCTAATCATGGATTAATTAGTCTTAAAACATTTATCTCGCGATTTTCAACTAAACTATGTAATTAGTTTTTTTCGTCTATATTTAATACTCCCTGCATGACCGTAAAATTCGATATGAAAGTTTGTGGTGAAAAATTTTGGACCTCGCTTCACTGGCAGTGGTAGAAAAGAGAAGGCTGGCGAGGGTCACAAGCGTGATTCGTCCAAGAGAGAGAGCAGACCAGCCACAGGCACAGCCATAGTAGGCATTGGAAGCTGTGGGTCTGCATGGGACAAAGCGACCAGCCTTGCAGCCTTCCCTGTTTTAGTTTGCAAAATTTTTTAGGATTTCTCATCGCATCGAATTTTTAGACATATGTATGAAGTATTAAATATAAATAAAAAATAAAATTAATTACACAGTTTAGACGAAGTTCACGAGACGAATCTTTTAAGCCTAATTAGACTATGATTGGACACTAATTGACAAATAACAATGAAACCATTTCAAAAAAAAATCGCCAACTAAACATGGCCCAAATTTCTCAACGTCAGAATATACGACGCTGAGCTTGGTGCCATCGTGGCTCGTCGTTATGTATTCTGACGTCGAGGTACCGACCATGTCAACGCCACCTAGGATTCTCTACTGTGTATGGCTAGACAACTCGACGTTAAGATATGTGGTGTCAAGACGTGTTAGACGCCAGAACTCATGGCACCGACCCCAAGGTCCAAAGATGAGTTTAAGTCTCCTATGAAGCTAAATGTAAATTTTCTTTAAAAAAAGAACTAAATAGTAAAATATTCAGCTCCCTCTCTCACAGAGCAAGTAGGAGCGGGTGAAGGCAAAATTTTTAGCTTCACCGCCTCCTTTTGGCTCTGTGGGAGAAAGAGGGAAGATAGTGAAAACGGGCTCCAATGAATAGTGCCGCAACAGTAAATGCGTCCAGAGGAGCTGGAGCACCAGAATCCAAACCAAAGAGGCCCCATATATGTCTCTATGTAGGGTTTATAAGTAAGGGCGTGTTTAGATGCAAAATTTTTTAGGTTTTGGCTACTGTAGCATTTTCATTTGTATTTAGTAATTAGTGTCTAATTATGGACTAATTAGGTTTGAAAGTTTCGTATCGCGATTTCTCACCCAACTGTACAATTAATTTTTTTTCGTCTACATTTAGTACTCTATGCATGTGCCGCAAGATTCGATGTGGCGAGTAATGCGCAAAAAAATTTGGGAACTAAACAGGCCGTAAGTTTGGAAGGATTGGCCTCTATCACTACACTCAGCATCAAGTGGTGGTGTGCTGGAGTCTGTCTGAGAAGGCTAACTAGGAGAATCCATGGCGTCTACTCTTGCGCGGCTGCTGCCTCTTCTCCTCCTGCTGCTCCCGCCTCCCCTCCGGGAGTACCTCTCGGCGAGCCAGATCCAGCATGGGGCAAAGGACGACGCTGCCACCGGGGTGCTCCACCCCATAGTCCTGGACTCCTGGTACCTGGGGTGAGCTGCCCTCACGTGGAGGCGCGGCTAACCGAGGCGTACCGTCCGTCGGTGCCGCGCTGCGGCGCGATGATAGGGAAGCCGTGGTTCGGGCTCTGGGACTCTGGGAGAACGCCTCGGACATTCCGGCCCACGACTACCTCGAGTGCTTCAAGGAGCAGATGAGCCTCGTCTACGACCCGGCTGCCAACGACTACCGGAACCCGCCTGGTGTGGAAACGCGCATCCCCAACTTCGGCTCGGCTAGTGGATTCAGCGACAAGAGGCCTCTTCGCACGTAACCACATCAAATCCTCCATATATGATATATATCCATCCGGATTCAGTTTCTTTCTTTGTTTCTGCTGCATCGGCTACCACTGTAAACACTGCTCTGCAGGGCGTTGTGCCTGGCGGTCCTCAGAGAATCACTGGAAAGCATCGGCTACCACGACGGCGACACGCTCTTCGGGGCTCCTTACGACCTGCGCCATGCGCCGCCGTTGCCTGGCCAGTCATCCGAGGCGTTCTACTTCGAGCAGGTGACGCGGCTGGTGGAGGACGCGAGCAGCAGCAACGGAGGGAAGAAGGCCATCCTGTTCGGGCACAGCTACGGCGGGCTGGCGGCGCTGGAGTTCGTGCGGAGCAAGCCCCTGGCGTGGCGTAGCAAGTACGTCAAGCACCTCATCCTCATCGCGCCCACCATCCCGGCCCACGGGTTCGTGGACGCGCTAAGGAACCTCATCCAGGGCACAGACAAGCTCTACGTCCCCGGAACCACCCCGCTGTCCCTGAGGGCAACGTGGCGGACCTTCGAGACTGCCATGGTGAACATTCCGTCCCGGTCGGTGTTCGGGCACGACCCGCTCGTGACCACCAAGCAGAGGAACTACTCCGCGTACGACATGGAGGACCTCCTGGCCGCCATCGGCTTCGGCGACGGCGTGGAGCCGTACAGGAGGCGGCAGCTCCCCAGGACTCGCGGCGATTTCCAGGCACCACTGGTTCCCGTGACGTGCCTCTACGGGGTTGGCAAAAGCACGCCGCGGCGCCTGGTTTACTGGGACGGCGACTTCGATGCGCCCGCGGAGTTGGTCTACGGCGACGGCGATGGGACGGTCAATTTGGCTAGCATGTTGGCGTTCGATGACAAGATGCGCCAGCACCCGGTGCAGAGGAAGCAGTTCAAGTCCATCAAGCTTGCTGGGGCTGGGCACAGTGACATTGTCCAACTTCAATGGGCGCTACAGAGGGTCGTGCAAGAAATACAGGAAGCCAATCGGGTTCCCTCCTAAGGGACTGTTAATTTGGATCACATCTATCTAGATTATAATAATCTATTAATAAGCAGGATTATGGATAATAATAATGAGAGTGTTTGGATCTTTGGATCATGGTGACTGTTTATGGTAGGTTAAAATGGGAAATTCCTATCTTATAATTTGGCAAGTTGGACAATTAATTGGGGTAATTTGGACTTTCAATCCTATTTTGATTATAATAATCTATCATATAATCAATTCCATTTGGATCCTTGATTATATAATCTGATTATTATAACCACCTATGTATCCAATCAGGGCCTAAAACAAGCGTGTCTGTGTTTTTACTATATTTATTGTTATTGTTATATAGACACATTGTCATCCCAATATCTACTTGTATTTTATATATGCTTTCTCATCGTCATAAAGTGTGTAGCGTTCGTTTCCTCGGGAATCTGCTCAATCTACCCCTGACCAAACCATAGTGACAGGGACAGGAGTTGTGCTTCTATCTCTCTTCGTCCCATCCAAATTCTTCTTTTCAAAGACGAAATATAAAATTTTCACCATTTGGAACATGTGTTCCCCGTTTTGACTTCTCTCCGGAGCGAATTCATTCTCCTGCTTGTTGTCATATAATTTGAACAACATCTTTATGCGATATGTCTGAGTTGTCTTTAAAAAGCGTCGATACCTTAGGTAAACGGTCTTCCTAAATGCATCTAGGTACACCCATGAAGTACAATCCAAGCATACTAAGCATCTTGTCTTCCCCTTTGATCTGTCCCGACAAAGAAAATAGCATGGGTTAATCATTGGTAGTGACAAAGGTAATAGCTCTACATATGAAATCCTCCTTTCTGAACGTATCGAACATCGGCATCCCATGCCTTCATAGCATCTCCATTTCTTGCATCAAAGGCTCGAAGAACACATTTATATCAATGTCTAGTTATTTGGGCCCTTGGATGAGTATAGTGAGCAAACGGTATTTTCACTTCTGATACAGCCACGTGGGGATGTTGTACATGGTTAACATCACTAGCCGTGTGTTGTGGTCACTCGTCCTCTCATTCACTACAAGAAATTTGGTGATACATGACGATCTACTTTTATCATAGACACTAAAAAACCTTCACGGTTAACTTACCATGACGATCCAAAAAAAGGTCATGTATCCCGTGTCATATATTTGTTGGACCGAATGGAGCCGTCATAGATTGGCATTTATGTTTGTCATGGAAACCCTAGAAGTCCACTTAACCCAGACCGGGTCCGATTGTGTGTGACAAAATTAATGTCATAGCCATCTGCCACGTAGGATGTTTCTCCGACACAGATTTGTTTTGCCATGTAAGCGCTGCAAGTGAGAGTTGCAGGAAACAGACTGGTTCATCATCAGAGCCTGCAGCAGAACAATGGACCCAAAGATCTGTTTGTTTTCCTCCAACCTCTCCGGTCTCACCTTCGGTTAATTGCTTGGTTTCTACAGGGAGGCCACATTTGCACCATTCCTACGGTGTCTTGTTCAGCTTAACTTACACTACTATACTTTGACACTTCTATATTTCAGGTGCCTGAATTTTAAGATGATTTTAGGCAGCACTCTTGTACCATCAACTAGTACAAGAAAATTGTTACTATTGTGATTTGTTATTTGTCTTTGTGTCATAACATATTAATTTTTTGTCCTTGTCTGTCTATAGAAATAATTATAAATTGTTAATTATCTTTGGCTAACATAAAGGGTTTTTTTGTTTTGCTTAACGGGTTTTTTATTCTCGGTATCAAAAAATGCAGATTTCATCTATAGAAATTGCAATGAACGAAATATGCAATTTTAATATAAAATATATGCAATAATCGTCGCCTAAAAATAAAATAAAATTCAGACACCTGAATTTTAGCAAGTCCCATACTTTGAACCTCAACCCAGGCACACTTCTCTGTTATTTTAGAACTAATTCTCTTCTCTAAAAAAATCTGAGGATTTTCATTCATGCACAAGTATGTTACGCTTCTAAAGGGTCATTTGGAACAAAGAATTGCATAGGAAAAATAGAGTTCAATTCCTTTGAAATTGCAATGCGTCTTCTCTCTCTCTCTCTCTCTCTCTAATAAATATCTAACCATCCAAACATATCATTCAAGAAATTCCTATTCTCATTCCATAGGATTCATCCCCCAATCTTGCATTTTCTCGTTCATGCACTTTGAGAATTTTGCATTCCAAAGGATACCTGAATGAAACATGGCATGCTTTGGTTAACTTAGGCAATTACACTAGCAAGCAAGCCATACTTTGATCATGTTTCGTTCCCATTTCTTAGTTGCTTTGTGGTGTGTCTAAATATGTTCTATTCCATGCATTCATTATCTGTTTTTGTTCCTCCTTTGTATTTGTTACTGAAAGAGAGATGATACAACTTTTATGTTCCCCCGCTACAACATAAACGATTTTTAGAGGCGTCTTTTTTTCCTAATCATGGTCAGATAAAAAAACCACCTCTACAAATCGATCTGTAGTGTCACCACCTCTACAAATGAATTCCGGTCGCCTCTAAAAAGGCATTTTTGTGGCAGTGCTCCCGGCATTGATGCATCGCATAGTGTTCTTCTAAAAAAAAAACGATTCTGTAGTAGCCGTTGTCCCAGCATTGATGCATCGCATATTGTCTTACGATCACAACCAGAATTTATAAGTTCTCCTAGTGAAGTGGAGTTCTCCTAGCATTTTGGTATTCAAAATTTAGTATAAAATTTTCCTACTAAATGCCTCCTAGTACCACCATTTGAGTAGCGGATGAAACACCAATATGACAGTTCATGGTACCCACTGGAACCGTTGGGCTTTTGGTAGTACCTACTAGTTGATATGGAGTTGCGTCCGAGAGTTGATGGAGCAGGGACATCTCACATGAGAGTGATCTGCTCGGGGCAAGGCAAAGGATGAGATCCGGATGCTGAGGATTGAGTAATGGGGGCAAGGCAATGTATAGTAATCTTAATCTTAAGTATGGGACCAATGGAAAGCTAACCTGCCAGTGATCCGCCAGACCCTGGCGAGTGGCGACAAAGGCAGGAGGCCCACATGTGAGACGCCGCCCACAAGGCAAGGGGAAGGGGAGTGGCTTCAGAGACCTTATTTTGTTCACATGTGAGACGCCGCCCACAAGGCAAGGGGAAGGGGAGGAGACTAGTCCAAGTTCCAGAAGGAGGACTCCATTCCAATTTCCAAAGCAATCAAACAGTCTTCCCTCTCGAGGCCCAACTAAACCGAAACGGAAACGGGCCCGCTCCACCGCCCCTTGCGTTGGACTTGGACCGAGTCGCCGCCGTTCCCGTTCGTCGCCTACAAATACCCCGCCACGGCCGCCACGCTAGGTTTGGCCGCGTCGCCGCCGAAACGCCCACCAGCGAATCTGTCTGTCCCTGTTCACCTGTTGGCCATTGCCAGTTGCCACCACCAGTCCACCACTGACCAAGCACCTTCTCTTCCCGCGTGCTCCGCATCCGCGTCTGGACACCGGCCGGATAGATGGCAAGAGCGACGGCGCCGTCCCGTCGGCCACCGAGAGCCATGTCTGCTGCTGCTGCGGCGGCGGCGTCTCCACCGCCCGCAGCAGCAGCGTCGCTCGTCCCCCAGCGCCGCGGGGCCTTCTCGCGGTCTCATCATCAGCCTCACCACCACCGCCGCCGCCTCGCGATGCCCGTGGTCGTCGCGCCGGGGCCGCCGAAGCGGGCGTCGTGCGCGTGCTCGCCCACCACACACCCGGGCTCCTACCGCTGCGCCCTGCACAGGGGCCAAGGACAAGCAGCCGCAGGCGGAGGCGGCGGGGCCGGGGCCCCGCTCCCGCTCCCGGCCTCCACGGCGCCGGTGTCCAGCAGGCTCAGCGCCCCGCGGCGCGCGTCCATGGCCAACCCGCTGGTGCGCATCGCGGCGGTGGAGGGCGGCGACCACATCAGGCGCGCGCTGGCCGCTCTCGTCCGCCCGCCGCCCTCCCAGACGCGCCACCGCGCCGACGCCTTCCGCCCCACGCCCAGCCGCCTCTCCGCCATGTCCTCGGCGTCGAGCTAATTAACGCCGTGACAGCAGCATCGACCATCGAGAGCTCGTCGTCGGATACTCGGATTCCTCGTAGTCGCAGCAACATTGCCGCCGCGACAGTTTTGTTGGCCACGTTTTTTGGTTTCATTCTTTGATTTTTTTTTTTACCCACAGAGGAAGGAACTGCAACTGTACATGTACATTAATTTACTGCAGTCGCTGTCGATGTGTTTCGTTCAGTTTCACTACTTTTTACTCCAGAGCAGCCACATTGAGGCCTTGTTTAGATTGAAGATTTTTTCAACCCGATGAATAGTAGCACTTTCGTCTTATTTGGTAAATATTGTCTAATCGTGGACCAACTAGGCTCAAAAGATTCATCTCGTGATTTTCAACTAAACTGTGTAATTAGTTTTTTTTTTTACCTATATTTAATACTCCATGCAAGCGTCCAAAAATTGATGTGATGGAGAGAGAGTGAAAAAACTTGGAATTTTGATGTAAACTAAACAAGGCCTGAGTTTTACTGAGGCGTGCACAGCGGGCTTGTAACGGACGGACGGATTTTTTGTAAATAATCTTTCAAATGAGACAATTTTGGGTTCCAAGCCAAGCAACCGAAATTTTATTTAGTTATTACTCGCATTGACTTTTAAACTTGATAATACTGGGTGGGAAGGAGCGATGAATGGAATCGCGCGCTGGGTTTCTTGGGGGAGGAGTTTGGTCTCATGGTCGCGTTATCTTGCCTCCAAGGACAGCGACAGCGAGTCAACGAGCTGGGCCTTGGGCGGCAGGTGCAGTGCAGCCGCCTTCGTTTGTTTTTTTGTGTTTCCCGTCCTGCTTCCGGTGTGTGTGAAGCCTTGGAGATTTGGGTCGTTGACTCAGTCGGGCTGCTGCGTTGGAGGAGCGCAAGGACAGCGAGGCGCAGGCGACCCGTTCGTGCGGACCAAGAAACGGACTGCCAGGCGCGTTTCAGAGT